CCATCCATCCATCCATCCATCCATCCATCCAACCATCCATCCAACCAAACAAACCAACCAACCATCCAAACAACCAACCATCCATCCATCCAACCAACCAACCATCCATCCATCCATCCATCCAACCATCCATCCATCCATCCATTAATCCAACCAACCAACAAACCAACCAACCATTCAAACAAACCAACCAACCAATTAATCAATTATCCAATCAACCACCAAACTAACCAATCAGCCAAACAACCATCCAGCCAACCAATCAATCTAATCAACCAATATGCCAACCAAAAAAAACCTATTCAAGCAAACCAATTAATCAATCAATCAATCAATCAATCAATCAATCAATTGATCAACCAAACAATCAATCTGTCAAAAAAAACAGTCACCGACCAATCAATCAATCAATCAATCAATCAATCAATCAATCAATCAATCAATCAATCAATCAATCAATCAATCAATCAATCAATCAATCAATCAATCAATCAATCAATCAAATTAATATTCTTAAATAAAGAAAGAACTCAAACCCCAGCGTTGTGTGTTTCATATACATAATTGTATTTTATATATTTATATTCAATGTACAAAGTTACATTCAGGCTGCTTCATAGAAATAAATACTGCGATGGCCAGTTTTGCGACAGGATTGATTTGTTTTCTGCAGCCGGAAACGCAAGCTGAGCAGCCATTACAGATTAGAGTCTAAAAGACCAGTACAAAAGTGTCATAAAAATATGCGTCCGCCTCTGCACTGTGTCTACACACTACAGCAAAGGAGCAGCTCCTGTAGAAAAACAACACAAAACACTCTAGTGTTAAAAAAGACGGCGAACCAGCGAAACGGGGACACAGTCGAGGAGTGATAAAGTATTAAATCAGTTTCTCTCTATGCTTTGGTAAGCGTGCAACATTCATATGAAAATATTGCATCTGTGCACACAGGATCTGGATTGAAAACAAGCACAAAATCTCTCTTTATTCCCACAAACAAACAGAAAAGCTCTTCCAGATCAGATGTAGTGCATTATTGTGCTTCCACTCTAAAACAGACGCGCCCTTCTGCGTTATGTATTGCCAAAGAAGATAGCGAAAGCACAAACAAACGTCATTCTTTTGTCGAAAGGGTGAAATGCATGATGGGAAACTATGCTTCAGGTGAAACGCAGTCAGTCATGATTGGCCAGAACCTGCCAGACGATCAGATGCGAGCGCTCGGCTTTAGCTAGGAAGGGCTGCAGGTTCAGACTGGGATCGTCCATGTTTTCAGTGTCGCCTCCTTCATCACCTGTGGGAAGAAAACACACATTTACCAAGACGCTGACTACAAACTAAAATATTTCAAGTATTTAAGCATCTTGGTTGATCGCAAAACAAACTCCAACATTTCCAAACTCTGATGTAAACAGATTTAGAGAGTAAACTCTGCTCATGCGCTTCAACAGTCTGTGAGGTGTTTGAGTTATTGATGCTGATCAGATGTGCATGTGTGTGTGTTTGGGGACTTTGCATTAAAGTTTGTTTCCAGCTGTCCATCGTTGTAGATCTGTAATGTTGTGCTGATTGTAAAAGGCTTCAGCTCTCGATCAGTCCATCATCACAGTGCTTCAGTGTTATTCTTCTTCTATTATTATTCTTGAGCATCTGTCTGCGCTCCTAAAGAGCCTCAGGCTTATTATTACCTGCCTATTATTAAGCCATTGGCTGTTTAGGTGATATGGAAGGATTTCAGGGTATATACAGAACTTCTTGAGTTGAATTTACTACCTTTTACTACCATTTTTAATACCTTAAAACATTTTTACTTGCACGTGCAGCAACTGTAGTGGCATAAATGGCATATATTTTCAAATGGAATAACATATTGCAGATAACATACATTTAGGTAAAGCAGAGGGATTTATCAAGCTGTCACAGTGGGCCTTTGTCCATAGTTTTTAATCAGTATCATATGTCATTAGTCGCTCTTCTAAGAACAGTTCGGTACGGTTATGGTTGTTTTTCCACTGAGCCTGGAACGGGGCGGCACGATTACAAACCTTTCTCGCGGTTGTCTTAACTGTGCCGATAAATTCCGTGTGTCAGAGCCTGAAAATAACTTTTTTACTTGGCAGCACCGTTACTCCCTACTTATAATATTTAGGAGCACCAGAAAAAATGTAGGAGCACCCACCAGAAACGATGAGCACCACTGCAAATTGGATATTAAGGGGATCATTGCATTTGAAAACAACATCAACCAGGACTAACAAAAACCAGAAATCTAACGAATGCTGTGATGACTTATTGATATTTGTGCAAAACAAAGGTCTAATAATGATAAAATATTAATGATGACGACGATGACAATAGTTGGATTATATTTCTCATCATCATGCTGCGTTGAATGTGAGTTATCTGCTATTAAAAGTCCTGCTGTTACTTTATGAACAATAAATTGATGGTTTGCTTTAAACAAAAAATAAGAATTACAGTAAGAAATGTTAATTTTGCGTTATTGTTTTTATATGCATGTTAATTTAATGAAGATTATTTCTGCTACAAAACAAACTAAAGATTATAATAAATCATTCAATTCCAGGCTGAAAGCTGCAAAGCAGTCATCATTAATAGCAAAGTAATATACGCATCAAGAAAGAAACGACAAAAGGAAGAAAAGTCTCACATCTTTGGTTTGAGTTTGTGTCATAGTAAATGCTCAGTCTCGTTATGCGCTCATTTACAGTTTACGCTGTTTGTGGGAAACAAACAGGCAAGTCAGCCGACCAGGGCAGAGCAGGATTCTCGCGATGACCACCGGCGCAATACCACCCTTTGTTATGAGCCGCAGATTCAGTTTAAACTCAGTGAAGGCCAGCTTATTTGGCGATGATGTGTGCAGTGTTAGATTTTACATTTATAGCGGACATTTGCGCTAAACATGCAGTAAATAACGCATCGAGATTCGGGCACCTTCTCGGCTGGCGGATCAACATTCAACACATAATCGCTTTCATCAGTACTTTTCACTCTTCCCCCATTTGTATTTTTACCGCACAAATGTAGAATAAAGGCCTACACTTGAAACATCAAACAAGACTCGAAAATTTAATACCTCGTCAGATGACGTTTATTACTTTTTAATGGCCTTAATTTTAGCTAAATTTTTTACTACCTCTTACAATCCCGCGGACACCCTGGATTTGAATCTATTTTAATAAATGGGGAAACTTTCTGTATTTTGTGACCCACAATGTTAGCGTAACTTGTAACATGACCAAATAATAATAGCTTAATAATAATGATATTGGCAACACCCCCATTTTCTGTGTGCTTTGGTTTATTTACTATTGAACATGACTCTGTATGACTCTGTATTTGATTCATCTGAACTAATTGCAAAAAAGAAAATCACTTGTGAAAATGGGAAAATTTTGAATAGAGAATCCAGGATTTCTGCAGGTTTCACAAAGTCAAATTTAAGATTTTTAAAACCATGAAGAATGAAATTTCAGACTTCTGTAGGGCTAAAATCTAAGGATGTTGTAATGACCAAGCAGAAAAAATACTTGCCCCATCAAAAAATTCTATATTAATAATTGTAATTAGTTTTTTACTAATTCTAATTAGTAATTTCTTAGCCACACATTATAAATAATGTGTCAAAAAACAAACAGAGCCAGTTATTCAACATAACAACTTAAAAAACTCTTTAAAAACTAAACTTTCGCCAAAAATAAACAAACAAAAAAATAAACAAATAAACATCTTTGAATATGTAACCCAAAGGACCTGCTGCACCTAACCCGGTCCGAGCTGGGATCCAACTGCCAATTCTTTGTATGGGAGTCGGTTGCTCTAACAAGGAGGCTAAAGACCAAGGCCTCTAGCGTCTGTCACTAGAGCACTTCACTAGCTGACCTCCATTAACCTCACCCCCCTAAACCTCACTGCCATCCCGGACGAGCCCCCAAGAGTAACCCACTGGTCCTACTGCACCCAACCTTGTCTGATCTGTGATGGAACTGCCAATACTTTTTATGGAAGCGGTCAGAAGAGTGAGGTTTACCTGCATAGCACTTCGCCAGCTGACCTCCTTTTCATATAAACAAAGGACAATTAAGACCCGTTTAAAAGTGATTTAAGACCTACAAGACAATATTTTAGTGAATTTAAGACTTCTTAAGGCCTAACATTTTGTTTTTCAAACTTAAGGCATTTTAAGTCTTGCAGATACAGTTGAAGTCAGAATTATTAGCCCCCCTGTATTATTAGCGCCCCTGTTTATTTTTTCACCAATTTCTGTTTAATGGAGGGACGATTGTTTCAGCACATTTCTAATCATAATAGTTTTAAAAACTTATTTCTAATAACTGATTTATTTTCTCTTTGTCATGATGACAGTAAATAATATTTTACTTTATATTTTTCAAGACACTTCTATACAGCTTAAAGTGACGTTTAAAGGCTTAAATACGTTAATAAGGTGAACTAGGCAGGTTAGAGTAAATATAAAAAATAAATTAGCTTAAAGGGGCTAATAATTTTGTCCCAAAAATGTTTTTAAAAAATTAATAACTGCTTTTATTTTAGCTGAAATAAAACAAATAAGACTTTCTCCAGAAGAAAAAATATTATCAGACATACTGTGAAAATTTCCTTGCTCTGTTAAAAATAATTTGGGAAATATAAAAAAAAAATAAAATAAAATCAAAAGGGAGCTAATAATTCTGACTTCAACTGTACCCTGAGAATCGATTCTGAACATTTGGGAATCCAGAATGGTTAGAGAATGAATGACTATGCAGCAGTTTTCCTCCCTTCTCATTAAGCCCCTACTGAGTAGTGTTCAGCAGTGTGATCATTAGTGAGACGGACCCATCCTGAAGTCGATGTATCCCTCTCCTCCGCTCATCACCAGCACAGATTTGACCAGTTCTGGTGTCGGAGACTCTGAGGATTTATCAGCAATCGCCTCCACTCCTGATCCTGATGCAGACGGAATCACCTGACATGACCACACCACAACCATCATTAATATATTATACATTCATGCTGAGTCGAAGGCTAAATCACCAGTAAAATTAAAATATTTCCAGACCCATACTAATAAGATATGAATTCAAACTATAAACAATAATCAAATGAACGACAAAAACAACCACAACAATATCGAAAAGCCTTGTGTTCACAATGATGATTATTAAAAAGCCATTTCTTAAAATCATCCTTCAATAACTTCATATATCGTTGCTTTGTATATCAGAAAATATGATTACGAGTAGGTTATTAATGAATGTCGGTACCTGGCACTGCGGTGAAGAACTTGACGGCGTCTCGGTGTCCGTGAAAGCACAGCTGAGCGTGAGCCATGGAGCAGAAAGGCACAAACGTTCCTGTCGTGACTTTATCGCCGCTCTCGTCTCCGTACACACGGATTGCAGTGCCGGGTTGTTTGGACGATGCTGCTGTATCTTTACTCTCTGTTGCCGGAATAAAAAAAAATGACATCAGACTTATTAGCAGAGCTGGTGGATTACTTACAAAATGTGACACGATTACAAATTACTGGTAGTAATCGGACTACTTTTGGATTACATTTAGATTACTTGTGTTCATGCTTGTTATTTGTGGATTACTTATGATTTGTAATCTGATTACAAATAACATGACAAAAGCAGTAATCAGTAATATAATCGTTACCACAAAAGTAATATAAATGTAATCTAAATGTAATCCAGAAGTAGTCAGAGTACTTTTGGATTAGATTTGGGTTTAGATACGTTTTACTAGAAACATGTTACTTGTAGTAATCTGACTACTTTTGGATTACATTTAGATTACTTGTGTTAATACTTGTTATAAGAGAATTATTTGTAAATTGTAATCTAATTACAAACTACATGGAAAAAATAGTAATCAGTAATATAATCGTTACCACAAAAGTAATATAAATGTAATCTAAATGTAATCCAGAAGTAGTCAGAGTACTTTTGGATTAGATTTGGGTTTAGATACGTTTTACTAGGAACAAGTTACTTGTAGTAATCTGACTACTTTTGGATTACATTTAGATTACTTGTGTTAATACTTGTTATAAGAGAATTATTTGTAAATTGTAATCTAATTACAAACTACATGGAAAAAATAGTAATCAGTAATGTACTCTCATAGATTACACATGTATGATAATGTAATCTGACTACATGTGGATTACTTTTTGATACTTAAACTACTTATATTTGTAATCTGAATACAAACTACATGACAAAATTAGTAATCAGTGATATAATCATTAACACAAAAGTAATCCAAAAGTAATTTAAATGTAATCCAGAAGTAGTTAGATTGTTAATGATTGTTAGATGTGGATTACTTGTGAATTGTAATCTGATTAAAATTTACATGATAAAATTAATAATCAGTAGTATACTCTATTGAATTACACATTTATGATGTAATCTGACTACTTTTGGACTACTTTTTGATGCTTATAATACTTATATTTGTAATCTGATTACAAATTAAATGACAAAATTAGTATTAAGTATCACAAAAGTAATCTAAATGTAATCCAGAAGTAGTCAGAGTACTTTTGGATCACATTTAGATTTAGATACTTTAGATATATCGTGCAGCCCTAATTATAAAGCGAACTGACTGTCTGTCAGAGGGATGGAGATGATGACTCCGTTTCCAGTCCCGATCCACAGCCGACTGCAGGAGACCATCAGAGCCGTGATCCTCACGAAAGAGAAACCCAGTTTACCAGTGCCTGCAACACATCATACATCAATCAGCATAATAAAAGACTTATCTCATCATCAAAGTCTCCCTTTCAATATCACTATGACCTATTACATAGTGTGTAATGCAGCTGTTTGAGAATACAGTATAAACATTTCTCAAATATATGCATGTGTGTGTATTATACTATATATGTGTGTGTGTTGGTATACATATATTTATTATGTATATATTAATACACACATGCATGCATACATGTAAGAAAATATTTATTTATATTTAGGTATGAAACATATGTATATGATACAAATTATATATAAATGTAAATATCTATGAAACAAAACTGTTTTGTTTTTATGTGTTTGTATCACATAAATATAAGAAATATATAATACACACACATATTTCGTCCAAGCAATAAATAATAACAATTTAAAATAGTAATAAGAGAAGCTCACCCAGCATCTTGCTGACGTAGGGCTCGATGTCCACGTCCTGCAGATGCTGGTGTGTGTGTGCATGGAAGAGTCTGAGGGTCGAGTCCAGACGGATGGACACCCAGATCCCGTCTCCGTCCCAAGCCAGCTGTCGGACCTGACTCTCCTTACGCGGATGAGCATCAAATGACTTCTGCATTGTGCAAAATATGTATATTTTTAAAAGTGAATGATATAAACGTAAATGTAAGCCTTTCTGTTACAATGGTCATAGTCTGCAAGAGCATTTAGTGAAATAAAAAATTATAAAAAGTAACGTAAAAAGGAAATATAATGTAAAAAGTCATATAAAATAAAGTAATATAAAATAGAACAAAATAATATTAAATATAATATTAAATAAAGCTATTTTAAATAAAATAAGTAAAAAAAATTAATAAAAAAGTAATATAAAATATAATAAAGTAAAATAAAATAGTACAAATTAAAGTATAAAATAATATTTAATAAAATTAAAACGTGATATAATATTAAATAAAGCAATCTAAAATAAAGTAAAAAGTAATATAAAAGACAATAAAGTAAAATATAAAAATAGTTCCATTAAAACAAAAGTAATATAAAATAAAATAATATAAAATTAAAATAAAAAATAATATAGTATTAAATAAAGTAAAATAAAAAAGTAAAATATAAAAAAGTTCATTTAAAATAAATTAATCTAAAATAAAATATAAAATTTTAAAGTAATATAATATTAAATAAAGCAATTAAAAATTAAGTAAAAAATACAATAAAATTAAAAAGGTGTATATATATATATATATATATATATATATATATATATATATATATATATATATATATAATATAATATATATATTACTATATAGTAATATAAAATAGTAAAATCTACAAAATAAAGTTAAATTTACATAAAATAAATTAATAAAAAATTTAAATAAAGTCATATAAATTTTAAATTTAAAATTTATAAAAAATGTTAAATGTAATATAAATAAATAAAAATAAAATGAAGTGAATTTGAATTAAAAAGCATTCCTTTATTAAAATAATACATTATTCTTACTGCAATAAATTGATTAGAGCTAAAATAATCAAATTAATAAGCACTGATATTTGTCCTTTGCCTTTAAATTTAGCAAAAATAAACATAATCATTAGCATAAAATTCTGAAATAAACATTTCTGAAACCAATAACTTTTTAAATAAATGTCAAAGTAATTTAGAATTAAATAAAACAAACATCATAAATGTCACAAATGGCCACTTTTGACCAATTCAGTTAGTCTCTGATGAATAAAAAATGCAGTGTTTATTTTAACAATTGCATGAACTCAGAGTGCATTAATGAATGATCCTACCTCGATCTTCATGGCTTTGGGATGCACCACGAAGATCTTGTTCCTGTATCCGCACCAGACTTTATCGTGCACCATAGTCATGCATCGGATGGAGTGATGAGGACGACCCAGATCCAGCAAGTGATAGTTACTCAGATCCCACTGACCGTCTGAAGCAGTAAAACACCATTCACTCTGGGTCACTGTATGTGCAGTATGGGTCGATGTGAATGCAGGTTTATAACTATTACAGCAGAAGAAAGTAAGTATTGAACAACTCATGTTTTTTTCCTGGGAATAATATCTCTGAAGTAGCTGTAGACATGGAATTGAAGTAGAAAAAAAAACAGTGGAATGACAGAAGGAGAAAAGGCTTTTATTATGACGGCAGCCTAAAGACGCCTCTCATATGGAGAATAAAGCCTCATGCATTGCTCAGGTGTGAGTTTCTCACAGACTTCAACAGAGTGTCTAAATCTTGATGCTTCTGTGGGTCTCGTCTATCAAATCTGAGCTTTATTCTGTGTTCTCTATTGGGTTCGGATCAGGTGATTGGTTGGGCCATTCTACAGCTGGGTTTTCTTTCTCTGAAAGCATCTGAGAGTCTCCTTGGCTGTGTTTTGGATCATTGTCTTGCTGAAATGGTTTGATCTTCATCCTCCTGCTGATGTAGATGTTGGACTGAGCTGATGTTCATTTACACTGAGGAAGGGCAGAGGCTTGCTGAAGAACTACTGAGAGATTTCAGCTGCTGTCTGGGCTTTCACTGCCCAACTACACCTTCTTTTCTTCATGTGTTCAACACTTTTTCCCTGTGTCGTTTCATTTTATTACACATGACCTTATTTGTAAACTAATTAAATTTGCTTTCTTTGGATTTCCAAGAACATGCGGTGAACATTTCAAGTCAACGGCACCTTCAGAAGTATGTTCCCTGAGAAAAACAGTGACGTGTTCAATACTTATTTCCCACGCTGTGGATGATAATCATGTCTCACCAACGCCTCTGTGGAAGATGGCGAGCGTCCCGTCAGCCAGAGCCACCAGAACACGACCCTTCACGTGTCTTCAAAACAAACAAACCATGAGCATCTGCTGCTGCTGAAGGAACAAGGAGCTTTGCTCCATATTTAAGTGACTGAACGAGTGTTTCCTTACACAATGCCCAGGACAGAATCCTTCAGCTTGATGGAGTGAAGACACTTCCTCCACTGCGCTACTGAAGAGTGAACATACACACTGGAAAACACACACACACACGCACACGCGCACGCACACACACGCACACACACGCACGCACACACACACATACACACACACACACACACACACATTACTCCTTTATCTGGGTTTGGTTACAGAAGATTTGACATGATCCAGGATAGTCAAGCTCATCTCAGGGTGCTTTCACACCTGTGAACCGATTCAGTTGTTCCGAAACAGAGATTACAAATGTTACAGTGTTG